AACTGAACTATTTCATTTCCAGCTCCTTTTAATTCTTCTGCATATACCTAAGTATAAAGAAATGGCATTAGAAATTAATTTAAACATTAGACAGTATGCAAGTTCTATACTTTTAAATTCTGGCACCTTTTAACTGAAAAAAAAAACAATGACATTTTGCTCACTATCTAAAATTTTTTGACGGCTTGATCAGTACAAACAATTAGTGAACTTTCAATTAGTGAACATTCTATATATTTTTTTAATACTAATAAAATACACTAAAGGCAGTCCACAATAGCAGTGGGTAATCATGTCAAGTTGCACAATCAGTGTCCCACGTTGGGTGTCATTCAGCTACTGTTAATAAATACACTAGTTAATAAACAACTATTAACAGTATGCATTTACTAATTCAGGAATTATGTATACTCACAGTTATTGTTCCAACTTGCCTTCCATGTATTTGCAGCGTCTTTGAATATGATTTCTTTGATACGACCTTGAATAAATAAGAACAGGGAATTCAAAAGAAATGGAGCAGAATGGTCAATGCCATTAACCAAATTGAATCTTTTTTTTTCCTCTTCAATGTTGGATCATCATCAACTTTTTTTAACATGCTTATATACAATAATTATGTCAAGTGCCTTACTGGTAGTTAAGTCAATTAAGAGTTACATTGCTTTTTGAGGATTTGTGAAGACGCATGTTCCCAGCACTTGGTAGCCATGCCAACTCTGCCTTTGTTTACACTCCAGATATCAATGAATCTGCTGGTCCCAGCTTATATTGGTCACCAAACCTCCTGAACATTAAGGAAAGTGCTTAACCCTCTCACTCTCAAGAGTACCGTGTGGTACCAAATACCATTACATGCTCAATATTTGGTCAATTTTTCTCATATTTGAACGGCAAAAAGTTCTTGGACAGAGCTGCATTATTTAAGCTATAGCTTAAAGGTATACAATGTACCTCAACTATACAAGGAGTGAGATATTTTTTAAAACATTTTTCATTTTTCACTTTGATTGCTTTTCAATTCAAACTGTATGTATGGTATGGTATCCCACAAGTAATGTCTTTCAAATGGTATACTATGTCTGGTCCTGGAATCTATCTATACATTGTACCGT